CAAATGATATATCAAATATTGGAAGTATCACAAATTTCAGGGAGGAAATATCACAAACAATAAAGGACTATGATCAAAATTGGAAGCTGCATCCATGTTCCTTGGGCATTGATGTACATTTTTAAATAAACAGTTATTTTTGAAGTGGCAAATTTATTGAAATGATGTGATTTGAACCTTGATCCAAATGTGGTTAAGTGAGTTAAGGATTCGTTCACACCTGAATCTGGACATTCCTTCTTTTAGACCACAAACATCCCAGAATTTTGGCATTTTCAAAAGGCAGAAGTATTTTTTTAAAAAAAATGGCATCCCCTAAGTGTACAGTATCTTCTTCTACTGCATGTATAAACCAGGGCTAAGTTTTATACAATCATTATGACTTTACATACTCTTCTGGTAAATGATGGGGTCACCCTTCTTGAAAGGATGATGATATTTAGAATGTTCCATTTAGGGAAGATTAGTGTCCAAATTAAAGTTCAGGAAGTGCATATTTCCCTCCCTTGTGGCCTAGTTATGCCTAGAATTGGCTGTTTTCCCACAATTACTCTTAAATTAAGCTTTCGGAGAGTCTTCATGCTGAATGTTCATACCATTTCTGTAAAGGTCAATTTTCCTTTTCTATTCCTTTGACAATAAAGGGTTTTTCTTTTTATTATTATTAATCTCTAGCATCAGTACTTGATCAAATTCTCCACTCACAGCATGCTACTCTAGAAGATGCAGACCAGTCTGTAATTAATGGAGAAACAGGGCAACTGTAGGAACAGAATAAAAAGGAACTGGTTGTCAGACTTCATCCCGGTATAAACATCATGCATTCCCACCCACCATGTCAGTTCACGCTCTGTGAGCAAAGGGAAACCCATATAATTTCCTGAGCAGTAAATGAATTTTAGAGTTTTGTTTAGAACACTATCATTTTTTACATGCAATTCATAATGTGCTCATATTTTGATTATGTTAGTTTGTATTAATGCAGGATGGACTGCTTGGAAATAAAGCTACATGTTAGGGATACTTTGAACAGTAAACTTTTCTGAATCAAGAATTGCTTCTGTAACACATGATAACTTGGTGTGTCTCATCATGTGACACAACTGCAAATACTTTTGTTTGGGGAGGGTGAATGCAATCTGTGTTTTGAAAGAGTGTATTGTGTTTTCCCCATCATTGATCAGCTGCCTCTGGCTGGTTCCTTGTCTTCCCCAGGAAACGGGGCAGGGTATACGTTTTTAACTAAAATGTAAAATTCATCCCAAACCAAACAATTGTTATTCAAATAAACTTTAAAGGGGGGTGGGGAGAAGCAATAGCTTGGGTACATTTTTGACCAGGTGAAGGATCAACTGATACATGCTCTATCAGAGCAGATCTTCCCAAATAGTGTAAAAGAGGAGGAGCACAGGTTTTAAGCAAAGCAATATGATGGCAGTACACTGTTGTGGAGAAAGGAAAAACGCTTGGTTCGGTCCCCTATTTTTAAAAGGCTTTATGAATGCTTTGGTGTTTCAGAAGGATACTAGAATAATGCTTCAACTCTAAAGAAATTAAAAATGCTCCTCATCAGCATAGATCTTGCAGAGTGGTTTCAAGCTACACTATTTTACCCCAGTCTTTGGAACAGTTGACTTAAATCCAAATTTTATATGATCTTTACCTGCTGAAAATTTCTAGAGAATTCAGAAACTTGCCATATTCCTAACTTTTGAGTGATCCAACAATTGATCACACAGCCCCTTTTTCTCCTTGTTGTCCAGAGGAAAAGAGCTTTATGCATGCTTTTTGCATTCTTGCAAGCCACACATTTTTCCTCAAATGCGTTGGTGGACAAATATCTGGCACTGTGTTGGATAGTTATGTCCAGTCACACAAATATTTTAATTGTCTATTCCTTCTTGTGTTTTTAGGCAGCCTCTTATGATAATATATTTTATAAAATTAAAGTGCCCTCTTAGTAATGCCTGACTTTGCATTTACTTGCTAAATAAAGCTGCCTCAGTTATATCAGACACTGCATACTCATTTTACATTTTTACTAAGCGGTTAAAGTGAGTGGTTGTATGGATTAGCACAGCTAAACTGAGTCACTTTTGAATATGTTATTGAAATGTAGCTGCATGAGCGATTTGTGCTCAGAGGTCAGACATAATTCTAATGAGGTCAATTAGCATTTGGAGTTCTTCTTAGTAGCTTTAATTAAGCACAACCTTATAGCAAGGACATGTGTGATACTCCCTCTCACATTTTGTTAATGTGATCTCTCAGATTACCTAATGAGGGAGTTTATTTCAGGTTTCCTACCAAGATCCTCCCCCTTTTCATTGTTTGTTTTCTAAGTTAAAAAGCCAGCAACACACTACAATAGTTTTTCCCCACAAGCCTGTTGATTTATAAGAGCACTGGCATTTGCAAACAGGCTGTTCCATCAATCAGCAATGTTATATTTACACACCCCAAAGTCAAGCCAATGTGAATTGAACTTTTTGCACTTGGTGGCCTCTTTGAAACTCTCACAAAATATTCAGATGCAAGGTCCACTCCTTGGAGAGGGACTGCCTGTTTGGTTGGTTGCATATTTACACTGGTGCCTCTTTTTTTCTTTGTAGACCTTACTTTTGCTTCCAGATATTTTTACATAGTATTTTTAAGCAAGCTTTTGGCACTTCTAAAAAACTGATGTAGCTTTGAAATGTCTTAAAGGAACCCAAATATCAGGTTTCATACAGTCAGAATCGCAAGAATCATTCTTTGAAATAGAAGACAAAATGTTGACATATATTGACATCAGAGTGCCTGCAGCTAACTCTACTTGGTCCACCAGCCATGACCGTTTCTGGACAAGGTCAAGGTGGCCACAATAGTTCATACAGTCGTTAGCTCCCAGTTAGATTGCTGTAATGCTGCACTCTACATGAATCAAAAATTGCACGGGTACTGCTGTGAATATAATATGTGGCAGGTTGACTACTGGCAGTAATCATTTTCTGAACCCATATGACATCAGTTTTAAAGGAATTCTCCTGGCTTCCAGTGCCCTTCTGGTCTGAGCTCAAGATGCTGATGATGGCTTACTAGTCTTGAAAAGGGTTGCAACATGGATACTTGAAAAAGTGCCTACCTTAAATATATGCTCCTGTCATCCAGATCTACGGTGGTGAGACCTTCTCTGTGTCCCACCATTGAGAATGGTACTCTGCATGGGGACATCAATGATGGCTTTCTTGGCTGTAGTATCTCGGCTATAGAATGCTCTTTCTATATAGGCTCAACATTGGTTTTGTTTTGGTCGCAAGAACTTGCCATAGTTTGTAGTGGTCCACACAGTCAAAGGCTTATGCATAGTCAATGAAGCAGAAGTAGATGTTTTTCTGGAGGTCTCTAGCTTTCTCCATAATCCAGCACATGTTAGCAATTTGGTCTGTAGTTCCTCTGCCCCTTCAAAATCCCACTTGTACTTCTGGGGAGCCTACCTTGGAGGATTTTGAGCATAACCTTGCTAGCGTGTGAAATGAGTGCAATTGTACGGTAGTTGGAGCATTCTTTGGCACTGCCCTTCTTTGGAATTGGGATGTAGACTGATCTTTTCCAATCCTCTGGCCACTGCTGAGTTTTCAAAACTTGCTGGCATATTGAATGTAGCACCTTAACAGCGTCATCTTTTAAGATTTTAAATAGTTCCACTGGGATGCCATCACCTCAACTGGCCTTGTTGTTAGACAAGCTTTCTAAGGCCCACTTGACTTCACTCTCCAGATCAGCAACCACACTATCTGGGTTGTCTGGGACATCCAGATCTTTCTGGTATGATTCCTCTGTGTATTCTTGCCACCTCTTCTTGATGTCTTCTGCTTCTGTGAGGTCCCTACCATTTTTGTC